ACACACACATCAACATTATTAAAAACATAATTCTACACACCATTAATAGACTCCAACTATTAAACAAGCATGCCATTAATCAAGAATTCCAATTAAGTCTACTTTGAAGTTGCAAATTCAAGTACAGATTGCAATTACCCATGGATTGAGAAGGAAATAATCAAAAATTGAAATAACGAATCAAAGAAATTGATTAATTGAAGAGAAGATTGAAGTTGGAAGAGACAAAAAGGAAAAGGGAACGTGATTATGGTTTAAAAAATCATAAAATATTGAGGTTTTATATTTTACCAAAAAATAAATAAAAGAAAATAAAAGGAAGAAACTTAATTCTCACAAAGGCATCGAGAACGGGACCGCTGGCCAGTTCTCGATGATATATCCCAAAATCGAATTGTTCTTTAGACGAACCGTACCGGAACCGGCCGGTTCTAATCGGTTCCAGAAAAAAATACCCACCCTTAGATGTGAAGAATGAGGGTAGATCAACTCAATTAGTATGTGAATACATGGATCTACATGAATGTATGCAATATCCTTGCACTTGGTATTTATCATTGTAGAAATCCAGTAGTGATTTGATAAGGAAAAGATGATTGATTCATATTTAAATCTTTCCATAGTTAGACTATTTAATTAGGTAAATTGAGGCAATTTTTTCTCTACCAAAATTAGGGGATTACTTTTCCTTTTTGTATCTTCTTTATTTTACTATAAATAGGTTGCAATTGTATGTACAAACAATCAAGTCAAAAATACAGAAAAATCAATTCTGTTTTCATTGTTCTTCAATCCGGTTTTATTGTTTTCTCATGGGATTAGAGCCAGTCCATACATGACAGAAATCCCTGTCAATAACAAAGGAATGATGACCTCTAAATCCTTCAATAGCGAGATAGAAACCATCCCTACCATGGAAACAGGTAAATTGGACAATCCCTTTTTCCAACTTACGGTGGAAAATTGAACGGAAAAAAATTCCAAGAATGGGCTTAGTCAATCAAACTGTTGATCGATGGAAAGGGAAGTTGGGATACCTGACGGGGGAGATGAAAAAGCCCGCCTCAACCGCCGTTCTTCTGAAAAAATGGCGGTCTGAAAATTCTATGATGATTGCGTGGCTTGTGAACTCCATGAAATCCTCCATCGGCAAGACATACCTCTTCCTACCAATGGCGAAGGATGTGTAGGATGCAGTTCAGGAAATGTAATCCAACTTTGAAAAATCATCCCAAATATTTGAAATAAAAACCAAATTGTGGCAAGCAAATCAAAGTGAAAGAGATGTCAATGACTATTACAAGGAGATGACGGCACTTTGGCAGAACTCAATCTGAGTTTCGAAGAAGAATGGGAATGCCCAGGAGACAGCACCAGCTTCAAGAAAAATTTGGAGAATGAAAGGATCTACGAATTCCTTGCTTGGTTAAATCAAGAACTGGACGATGTTAGAGGAAGAATACTTGGCTGGCCGTCGACATGTGAGGTTTTTTCGGAGGTTCGCAGAGAAGAAAATTGGCGATTGGTGATGCTGAAGGAGAAAACATGGTCATCTGGGCCTCCTGCTAGTGAAATGTCAGCCTTATTGTCTTCAACAATTAGGCCTGCAACACAAAGAAACGGACCAGGGCCTACAACAAGTATGGGATCATAAACATTGAGCCTATCTTCTAAAGGTATAAATAACGGGTCAGGCCTAAAGCAACAACGGGGACGACCTTTATAAAAAGTCAGAGATAAGATAATTTCTGTATGCATTAACTCAAGAATAATACAGCCCTTCCAATAGGTTACAATGGAATAAAATGAAGTCCAAAAAATCAGGGATGTTTATCCTAATATATCAAATTCACAAAGACGGAATCCTATCAGCTATAAATAAAAAATACTAAATCAATGCTAGCTATAAATACAAAGTACTAAATCAATGCTAAATCAAATAAGATAATATTTGATTTCGTCCACACCCCCTCAAGCTTGGCTATAAATGTCGATGAGACCAAGCTTGCCAACAAGGAAATCAAGAGTTTGTTTAGTTAGTCCTTCTGTGAGAATATCGGCTAGTTCGTGTGATGTTGGCACAAACTGAATGCTAATAATATCTCCATCAAGCTTCTCTTTGATAAAATGTTGGTCTATCTCCACATGTTTAGTCCTATCATGATGGACAGGATTGTAAGCAATACCGATGGTTGTCTTATTATCACAGTAGAGTCGCATAGGTTCTTCAAATCGATCTTCGATCTTTTCATCACCCTTCTTATCCATATAAGTTCACAAACTCCGTGAGCCATGGTTTTATACTTGGCTTCTGCGCTACTTCTTGCAACCACATATAGTTTTTTACTGCGCTATGTTGCTAAGTTTCCCCACAATAGCGTACAATATCCAGAAGTTAATTTCCGATCATTAATGGATCCAGCCCAATCTGCATTAGGAAATGCCCTTTTCGATCATTCGTCTTTGCAAAAAATAGACATTTTCTAGGTGTTTGCTTTAAATATCTTAAGATTCCATATACAGCATTGAGATGACTTTGACATGGTACATGCATATATTGGCTTACTAAACTCACTGCATATGCTATATCTGGTCTTGTATATGAAAGATAGATGAACTTTCCAACAAGACGTTGATAGTTTCCTTTATCGACAGGTCGTCCCTCGAGCATTTTTACTTTATTACCCAGTTCAATTAGAGTTTTACTCGGTTTACATCCCATCATGCCAATTTATTCTAAAAGGTCTAATGTATATTTCTGGGAATTCGATTCCCAGAAAGTATCTCAATACTCCAAGATCTTTAACTTCAAATTCTTTTGTCATCATTTGTTTGATTTTTTCCGTCTCTTCACTATCATTTCCAGTGACAATGATATCATCAATACACACGATTGGGATGGTTATCTTCTCCTTTCCAGAGTGTTTGACAAACATGGTATGATCAGATTGTCTTTATGTATAACCATACTTCTTGACCTTCGAGAAACGGTCGAACCAAGCATGCAGGGATTGTTTTAAACCATAGAGAGACTTTTTGAGTTTATAAACAGTTTGACTCCCTAAATCTTCTTCAAAAACCCGGAGGTTGACACATATAAACCGCTTCTTCAAGCTCCCCTTTTAGGATTGCATTTTTTATATCAAGTTGAAGTAAGGGCAAATTTGAATTAGTTGCGAGAGTAGAATTCGGATGGTATTAAGTTTTGCGACAAGAGTGAAGATTTCAGTATAGTCAATCCCATATGTTTGAGAAAATCCCTTGGCCACCAGACATGCCTTGCGTCTCTCCACAAAATCGTCAGCTTTATACTTTACTGTGAACACCCATTTGCACCCTACAATACTTTTTTCTAGTGGCAATTCCACTAAGCTCTACGTATTGTTTTGTTTGAGAGCACACATTTCCTCGAGAACTACGGCTTTCCATTTAGGAACAGATAATACCTCCTCAATAGACTTAGGAATTATCACACTAGAAATATTCCACGTAAAAGCACGGAATGAAGGTGATAGATTTAAATAGGAGATAAACTTAGAAATAGGATGTTGAGTACAATACCTAACACCCTTTCTGAGAGCTATTGGTACATTTAGATCAAGATTCGGACTAAGTTTACCTTACTCATTTGGCAAGTGAGGATCTCCATCAGTTTAACTTCTTGACTGTGAGTAGGATTCATGATCTCTTTATCTGTTTGAGAGACCTTTCTTCTAGAGTAGACCATTAACTCTTGCTTATTAGGCATGGTTGATTCTCCCCCTGTTTCCAATAAAGGTACATAGTTAGGCAGATGAGGTTGGGTACCATTTGGTGGTTCATTTATCGGAAAGTTGGTTTGAATGGACTCGGGAATAGACATAGTATGAGCATCAAGTGAGTCAAGGGTGTCCCATTGACAACAAACTTCATCCTGTTTCTCTCCCTGAAACGAAGTTGGAGAGAAATAAGGAGTATCCTCGAAAATATTATGGGGAGATGCAATTTTAACATCAACATATCTTATCATTCAAATGCCAAGCCATACTCTCTCATTTGACCCACCTCTCCAAAGATTTCA